AAAAAAAAAAAAAAAAAATACTGAAAAACAAAAGAACATAAAAATGCCTCATAATCACAAACCTACTTAAGATATATTCTAACATAATGGTTGTACAGTACATTCTATTTTGTAACTTGCTTCTTTTACTTAATATGACTTAAATATCATTCTGTGTAATTAAAAATTCACCTTCGTTATGTTTAATCATTTCCACTATGTACCAATATTTACTTAACCAATCTACTTTTTGTCAAATTTCTGGTTCTTTTAAGTTTGTGAAAAATATAAATAATCTACAATAAACATCCTCATAGCAAACTCTCTGCAAACATCCTTAAAATATTCCTAGGACGAACTCCTAGAATTGGAGTGTTAGGCTAAAAAGCAGGCATACTTTTAGGCATTTGGTGCATACTGACAAATTATTTTCCAGAAAGATCTATAATCCCACATACAGTATAATCAGAACAGTCTCTGCTCCCCCATCTTTAACTAACATTATACACTGTCAATCTACAAATATGTAAATTTGTTAAATGGCACATTTTAGTATGTTTACTTTGTTTTAAAAAAAACTTTAAAAGTTTGTGGGCCATTTGCACTTTCTCTTGAGAGAAGTAGGGAATGCAATGCATGATTTCTCAGTTATAATTTCCACATTTGGGAGGCTTCAGACTCCTGTCAGGCTTGGGCTTCTTCTGAGCCATTCTTTATGCAAGCAAGGATGTTGGGTTACACCACAGATGTGACCCCGGACGAAGCTGGCCCAGTAGGGGACAATGTGCATGACAGCGACAGCTGAACACCCCAGCAGCTCCCCGAGAGCCGGAATGTGAGGTACACAGAGAGGAAAGCAGGAACAGGAGCCGAGAGACACCCAAGGGAAGAACTAAGCAGAGGCCAGTACGGAAGAAGGGGAGGAGGAGGAGGAGGAGGAGGAGGAGGAGGAGGTGGTGGTGAGGGGTGCCTGGGGGACAGATGAGGGACACCTCCTGGGATAGAGAACGGTGAGGGGAGCAGAGTTCCAGTGACTTTCCGGTTCATTCTTTGCTTGCATAATCTCCATACCCTGTAGCAATAGGCCTAGTGATAAACAAGCCTTCTTGGAAGCGGAAAGTTCTGGCTCTAAAAATACAACAGGCCGGGCTCGGTGGCTCAGCCTGTAATCCCGCGCCTTTGGGAGGCTGAGGTGAGTGGATGGCCTGAGCCCGCGGGTTCGAGACCCGCCTGGGCAGCGAGACCTCGTCTCTACAATAAATCAAAAAATCAGCCGGGCGTGGTAGCGCGTGCCTGTAATTTCGGCTACTGGGAAGGCTGAGGCAGAAGGATCGCCGGAGCCCAGCAGGTCGAGGCTGCGGTGGCCGGGAGCGGCCCCTGCACTCCAGTCTGGGTGACAGAGTGAGACTCCAACTCAAAAAATAAAATAAAATAAAATAAAAAAAATAAAATAAAAATACAACAGAAGCCATCAGATGAGGCTTCTGAGAAAGCGCTTTAGAGGCTGGAAGGGTGGTAGGTGACTCAGCCTTTTGCACCCCACCCTCCTGCTTAGAACCCCCCACCATGCTGGAGGTCGAGCAGTCGTCTGGCTAAGAATGGCTGAGCAGAACAGCAGCAGGAGTGTGGGCGTCTGGTGGTGACTCAGGCACTTGGACAGCCTGGAGGAGTGTCCTTCACTCTGTCTCCTCAGAGAGCTTCGGAAAGGGCTCTGCTCCTCACAGATGGATGTTTTGATTTGAATTCGGAAATGCAATTTAATTTGCTCAGGAAATGGGAAATTTTAGTTTTAATTAGGTATTTCTCTATCTGAAGGATTTCTAATAGTGATATGCCCGATCCAACCGGAGCACCTCCACGCTGACCCATTTTATAGATTGAGGCTCTGGGTGTGGCTGTGTGGGAAGAAGCGTCATTGCCTTTGGGAAAAATTGCTAAACACTATGCTGGCAATGGAGCACTGTCTGAGAAGGGTCAAGAAGAGGGTCTCCATGCTGGATGACCCCTTGATGACCCCCAGTTCTGGAGCAGTGCACTGGTCTCCACTGGGCCTGGCAGTGATGTTCCCTAACTTTTCTCCACTCTCTCCAATTCACCACAGAAGGGATCCCCGCCTGCCACTCTTCCTTGCCGATAGCCAACGATACCTGTTCAAGTCTTTTCCCCATTTTTATTGGTATGTTTATTTTTTCTTCAGGGCCTCAAAGATCTCTTTATATAAGGACACAAGCTATCATCAAATTCCTCTACAAAACATACTGAGGGTAAACCCTCTAATATACTGTCATCCTTTTACAGATATCACCTGAATGGATTTTAGAAATTCCCCACGCTCTTCTGATCTGGGTAAAGGGCCACTGGCCTCTGTGTATTTACAGGGCGTTGGTATAATCTGGTAGTTACACCCTGGTACTGAGCCAGGCTGCCTGGGTTCTACTCTGAATGCTTATCATGGTTTATGAGGTCCTAACTCCCAAGCTATGGACCTGCTAGGAACTGAGCCTCACAGCAGGAGGTGAGTGGTGAGTGGGTGAGGAAGCTTCATCTATATTTCCAGTCATTCCCCATCATTCCCATTACCACCTGAGCTCCACCTCCTGTCAGATCAGCACTGAAAAGCCTGCTTCCATTTCCAACATCCTATCTTTGTGAAGCAGGGTTTTCTGCAGTGATAGCAACCAAAATGAAATCATGGAGTAGACCGGACATGAGCAACACACTTTGGCTGTGACTGTCTCCCATCACCCCCAGATGGAACTGTCTAGTTGCAGGAAAACAAGCTCAGAGCTCCCACTGATTCAGGATGGTGAGCTGCAGAGTTATATCATTGTGTATTACAACGTAATAATAATAGAAATAGAATGTACAATAAATGTAATGTATCTGAATCATCCTGAAGCCATTCTCCTCCACTCCTCCCAATCTGTGGAAAAACTGTTATGTTTGTACTTTCCATGAAACTGGTCCCTGATGCCAAAAAAGGTTGGGGACCACTGCCTTAGGCCATGACCTCAAACATATTAATCTCTCTACGCCTCCGTTTCCCTAGCAGTAAAATAGAAATAATATTTGCCTCAGAGATTAGTTTCTTCCCTCAACACCTTCTATGTGCTTAGTAAAAAATGAGTCAATAAAGACGCACAACTACCTCAAAATGAGGCCTGACATGTAATAAGTACTTAAAAATTCTAGTCATTTTTATCAAAATATATATTAAAAAGCATTATCCAAATTTGACAGAGCATACTTTTTCTTCATAAAAATTTGTTCTTAATATAAAAACATTTTTTATAAAATGTATAATTAAAATATGTACTTGTAAATGTATTCTTAAAATTTTAATTTTAATTAGGCATTTCTCTATGTGCAGAATTTCTAAGAAAGGTTTTTATTCAATTCCAGCTACAAGACATATGAAATTGTGCTTTGAAAGTACAAACATAACAAAACAAAGGATCAATCTGAAAAAGTTGGCAGAGTCATAGTTGGCAATAAAACTTCATAATCATAAAGTTCTATGTGCCCGGTGCTCTGATTAGTGCTAGTATAAAAGTAAATCGATAAATAAAGTCTGGCTTTTATCTCAAGGAGGCCAGAGTCCGGTAGGAGAAAGGCACTTGAATAATTCATACATAATATATACAGACATCAAGTACTAGCAGGTATTATGGGAGTGAGTTTCCAAATAAAGCAGAAAAGGTATTTAATACAATGCAACCCAAATTCTTCTAAGAAAAAGAGTACAAAATAGGACATCTTGCCTGACAAGCAAGTGCATGCACTCCTGTACACTCTGATAACTCTAATTATCTATTTGTTTTTTTTATATTATTAAGGCAATGGCAGATAACTTTCAGGAAAAAAATAATATAGGCTTAGAATCCGAATACTGAGATAAGTGACTAAGTCAAATTATTTAAATATGTGGGTCTCAATTTCCTCCTATATAAAAGATACAAAAATGATTTTGCTGGGTTATTACAAAGTTTAAGCGAGAATAAAACTATTAGTGATATGCAAATTTAAGATATGAAAGACTTCAAAAAAGGTAAGTGAGGGACGAGGTATTTACTTATTTAAGAATTCAATATGCAATCTAACTGAGTTTTTGTGTGTGTGTGTGTGTGTTGGAGTCTCACTCTGTCGCCCAGATTGGAGTGCAGTGGCCGCTCCCGGCCACTGCAGCCTTGGCCTGCTGGGCTCCGGCGATCCTTCCGCCTCAGCCTTCCGAGTAGCCAGAATTACAGGCATGCGCCACCACGCCCGGCTGAGTTTTTGATTTATTGTAGAGATGAGGTCTCGCTGCCCAGGCGGGTCTCGAACCCGCGGGCTCAGGCAATTCACTTACCTCAGCCTCCCAAAGGCGTGGGATTACAGGCTGAGCCACTGAGCCCAGCTCCTAACTGAGTTTTTAAAAAATATATTTTACAAGGAAGCAACTGTTGGGAAACTTAAATTCTTCATATTCATTAAATGTGAGACAGTCCAACTATTGAGAACAAATTGACTAATGATCAATTTGTGAAACTAAACTGACTGTTCTTTTGAACTGCCTGAGCCACTGGACACTGAAGTCTCAAGACCAGAGTGGCCACAGTAGGTCAATCAATTAAAACCTAACATTTCAAACAACTAAGTGTTAAAAAACAGGAGAGTGACAAAATCACCCCCAGAACTTTTTCTTTCTTTTTTAGAGACAGGATCTAGCTACGCTGCCCAGGTAGAACTCGGGCTTCTGGATTCAAGAGATCCTCCTGCTTCAGCTTCCTAAATAGCTGGGATTACAGGCACTAGCCACTACGACAAACACCTCTGAATCTTTCTACTCCATGTTGCAGATATGTAAGCAACCATTCCAAATGGCTCCTTCTGTCTACACACTTAAGTCAGAAATAATAGAGCATTTAGCTCAAAATGTACAACTTCAAATATAATAATAATCTAAATGGATTTGATTGTTGTCAACCAAGAGAATCAATAAAGCTGGTAATAACTTTTGTTTGCATTCTTTTCTTCAGTAAAATGTTAGCAGGATTATAGGAAGAATATATATGTTACAATTTAAAAATGGTTCTCATCCCAGATCTCTCACTTAGTATGTTCCATTCAGAACAAGCCATCTAGTAAACCCTTTAGGCCAACACCTTCTCAACAGATCAAACAAAGAAAACAGATGACAAAAGTAGCCTTCATGATCTAATAACACTGTATATTTTAATCATCTGTACACCTACTTTTTGGTTTAACCTCAACCCTCAGTTTTACTATAGCCACGATGGATGACCCTCAGAGGCGTGTGATTGTTTTCAAAAAGTGTTATCAAATGAAAGATAACTTACCACCAATGTGCTAGAAAAGAGTTGCAAAACACCATAGGAGGAGCCTGGAAAAAAAAAAGTATAAATAAAATCAGCTAGACCTATCACATAAATGGATTAATGTGTTAACAATGACGTAGAAATTAACAGAAAAACATTAGGGGAAAAAGGTCATTTTTTAAAAAGGAAATTGACCCAATCTTTTTTTTTTCTAGTTGGAAAAATGCGAGCAATAAAATTTCAATAAAAGGCCTTCAAAATAAAATTAACGGTAAGTGGAAGAGAGAATAAAGGCAAGGGTTGACCTTAGGGACCCTGTGAGATAGTCCTTTCATTGTGTGAGAACTGTGTAGCTCCAACTTATAAAATTGCATAGAAAGGACTCGGGGGGAACAGAAATTTGAATCTTCAAAAAATCCAAAAAGTCTTAACATTTTAACATTGTCCCATGTGTCACTAACACTGTTGAGTTTTATAAAATGCTTTAATCTTATGAAGAATTTACAAAGTTTTACAGAGTTCTTTACTTTCACTATCATACAACATGTCCCTTTGGCTAAAAACCTTCAGACTGCTGGGTGGTCCAATATATTCCAAGTACATTTCTTAAGGAAAATACAAATCAGGGCATGAATCAGGATTTAACAAATATTACGTACAAAACTGTCCCCAGACACTTGCTTGTCCAGCCTGTGAATGATCAAGGGCTATTAGTCTTAATGATTTCTCAATCATTAGCACAGTCCTAATCCCTGCCACATCCCGCCTCTTTTGTAAGTCCATGACTTCTGGACGGAATTTTTATATGGCACAGGCAGAGAAACACTACAGTCCCCTACGATGTGTTGGTGGTGGTGCAGAAAGCTTGCAACTTATTTGCCAACGTTCACCTAAACTCTTTCTCATGAGGTATGACTTCTGTGGATTATGTTTCTCTGGTCTCTTAGATTGAGTTACAGGTTCCCGTCGGCAGGAGTCCATATCGACCCTTTAAAACACACAACCAATTCCTTCAAGAGACCCAGCATGTTCCTGTTATACCACTGGTGGTATGGGGCCTGGGAACAATGTTTAAACTTCAAAATGTTCTGATCATAGTCTATGAAAATGAATTACATTGGCTCTAGGGTAATATTTTAAAATATTCTGGAAACATATTTTATCTTATCTCCCACTTACTGTTGGTCAATATTTGGCTATTGGACTGAGTTATTTTCATGCACTTAGTTCAGAAGAGTTAAAATTCAGTGCTCTAAAATGAGCAGTACTGACCACTCACCTACTATTCCAGCAACTGTTGGACTTGCTCCAAGGGACTTGACATGAAGGCTCAATAAAGGGATAACCATGCTGACCCCGAACAAATCCTCATAGAAAACAAACACGGATTGACTCAAATTAGTAACCAAAGCCTGGGTGTTTTGAAACTAGTAAGCCTAAAATTATAATCTGATTTTTAAGACCAAACTAGTATTTAAAACCTAGCAAATAAGAAGTAATTGTATTCATTAGTGCCATACGAATCGATAGCCACATGCAAATGCCTGGCATATCCTGACCTGAGACCCATTTTAACTTTAGCTCCTTTGTAACCGACTCTTAACATTTAAGGAGGACATACTATAAAGCTTCTTCAAATAAAACAAAAAACCCAAGATTCATTGTCGATGACGTGGGTAAAAAATGGAGGGGTAATTCTTATTTATCGCTGAAACCGCTTAAAAACATGAATTTCCTTCTGAAATGAGCAAAAGCAAGTAAGATCCTAGGACCTACAGTTTATGGCCTTATAAGGAAATATCCGAGAAGAAAGACAGTAAAACAGGAAGGAGAGAGAAGTCTGGTGTTTTGCAGCTATGTCACATGGGCTTTAGAGTCAGACAGACAGTTCTCAATTTCAGCTCTATTACTTATTAAACGTGAGTCCTCGGAAAGTTATTTAATGTTACCAAGCTTCAGTGCAGTCATCCGCTAAAAGAGGAATAGTAATACCTGTGTGGTAGAAATATGATGAGCATTAAGTGGCATAATGGTTAAGAAATGCCTGATACGCAACAGAAGCTCAAAAGTATCTTCTGCTTTCCAGTTCTGGGGATAAGTATGCGCACTTTTTGTTAGGAATTCTGTGTTAATAGACAGACTGTGAGCTTTTTCTTTAAGTTTTGTTCTCATTCTCACTTCACTTGGTTACCTGTTACAACTGGTTTAGGGGAAGAAAAACACATTGCAAACACACTCTTTTCTTCATATTCAATCTGTATTCCTCCTCCCATAAACCCAATTAATTGGGAAGAAATAACATACATGAAAAACACATTTTCTTTGGGTCCAGAATTATTCTTTTGCTGCCTCTCTGCTCCTCTCCTACCTGAACATGCCTCAGCATCCCAACTCCTAGCTCTTGTGAGGCATGAGCCCGGGGAGAAATGGTGGTCTTAAATTGCATCTGGGCAGAAAACGATGCCTCTGCCAGGGCCCAGTGCCAGCAGATACTATCTCCAGTGCCTCAGGAGGCAGCCTTCTTCCACTGACACTTCATCTAACCGGTTCCTTTTGCCCTCAAAACACAGTCTCAGCAAAGAGAAAATCCTACTAGATTTTTATTCCAGTTCGTTCCTAAAGTGGATTAGCACACAACTATGGGTACTGAACCAGGCCCAGGCTTGGAAAGGGAGGAGAGATACCGTGGATCTAGGTTTCCTGCAGATAATGACCCCAAAGCTACCCACATAAGCTTCCTAGGATCCAGGTTTCCTGTAAATAATGACCCAGAAACTACCCACGTAAGCTTAATGGAACTTACTAAATTCTTCAGTGGCAGGAACTGTGGATGACAACATTGGTGCTCTACAGCAACTAACGTAGCAGGTGTTCAAAAATACCAAGAATCGGCTTTCTAAACTTTCTATTCCACCTGGGAAATTACTATTTAGGAACCAAACCAGGATACACACACACACACACACACATACACACACACACACACACACACACACACGCAATCAAATCTATTTAGGAACCAAAACCAGGACACACATACACACACCAGGATACACACATACACACACACACACACACCATGAAGCAATCAAATCTATTTAGGAACCAAACCAGGACACACACACAGACACACACACACACACACACACACACACCATGAAGCAATCAAATCTGCCCCAGGTGATAAACAGGGTGTGTCGAAAACCCGATGTGGGCAATTCATTATGATCTGCATGGTTCAAGTCAACCCGGAACCCTCATGAAAAACGCCTAATTCAGTCCCAGCGGGGCCGTTCACAGCGACTTCCTACCTGCTCCGGGCAAGAGTCCCGCGGGCCCCTGCCGCCCAAGCTGCTCTCCAAGCTCGCCCCAGCCGCGTCCTCCGCCCCGCACGCGCTGCACCGCCCTGGCACTGACCCCCTGGGGGACAACGAGCCACACCTGACGCCGG